CCCCCCCCCCACACACACACACAAATTGGGGTGTACTTATTAAACAAGGAAGCTGATTTTTTGCCCAACATAGAAGCCTACAGTTTTGATCCCTGCTTCACAGAGCAGCAGCTCTGGTATTATTCCTTAGGTAGCCAAGGGAGTTAGTAGCTCATGAATGAGCCCTTGAGTTAACGAGCCAGACGAAAATGAGGATCTGTCTTTGCTCTCTGTAGCCATAACTCTGGGAAGGATTTATTGTCTTCATAAGCCTTTTCAAAAAAACAAGCTATGCATTATATGCAAGACTATATGGTAAGAGAACCCCCAACCACATGCCTTTTACTCCCCATCATTAGGCGTCAAGCTGCTGATGCAGCCTCACAGGTGAGGACCACAGGTCTCTGTTATGGCCCCAAGGTCCCCACTTCATGACAAGGAGCATCTTGAAGACTGAGTGCGTGTGAGGGGCTCTTTCCTATGCAGAGGAGCAGATTGGTGCACTTCTGGAAGAGGCTGGCAGGGGTGAGGTGAGTAGTGGGTACCCAGCCCAACCTGCCCCAGTAGCCTCCCAAAGAGATACCAACCTTGCCTAGACAGGAGAGTTGTGACTGCCAGAAGCGGTGCCGCCGGGAGGTGGGGAACATGGAGCTGGAGGGGCCGGAAGAGGCAATCAGGATGAGTGGGGAGCCAGGGAGTTTGCTCTGCAAAATGCACAAGAGATGGATCAGGACAGGCCGCGACCCTCCCTCCTGCATCCCAGCAGCCCTTGCAAAAACAAGCCCAAGCTAGGAGTAGCATCAGCCCACCCAACCCACCCCAAGCCTTTCTTTCCCTTGGCAGCTGGGTGTAGCAGGGCACAGGTACACACAGGCTGCATCAACATGAGTGACTGCAATGCTAAAGAAGCAGCTTATTGTTTAACCTTGTGCTGCCAGGACACAGTCCTCAAGGGGGCCAAGCTCCTCTGTGGGACCCTGCTCAGTTCATTCTGCCAGCTGGAGGCAGGCCATGGCTCAGCAGGCCTGCTTCAGGGTGACAAGGGAGAGGCAGGGTAGAGCTCTCATCCTAAGCCACACCTGACTTACAAGACACGACACTTGCCTGCAGGGGGACAGAGCAAACAGAGCAGGTGTGGCCTGGGACACAGGCAGGGGCAGGGAATAGTGCTTGGAGACAGGCAGCATTACAGAGACTGGGGACAGGAGCTGGGTCCGAGGCCTACTCACTGGTTTGTTATGAGACAAGACACCCACGGCCGGGTCCCAGGGTCTCTTCAACAGAAGGGACAGGGCCTCAGCACCGGCAGCCCCTGTTTTGGTAGTGGAAGACAGGAGCATCCTGTCGATCAGAGTGGGGATCTGAAATCAGAAGGTTGGGCCTCGTTAACACGGGGCACGGAGGGACCCTAGTGCACCCACAGAAAACCCAGCACAAGCACCCCCAGTTGAGGGGGAAAAGCAGGCCAGTGCCATGTTATCCCCCTCCCCTGGGGGTCAACCAGGACACTGGACACAGGAGACCAGGCAAGATGGACCTATGGTATAACCCAGTAAGTGGCAGTTCTTTTGTTCTTATCACCCTTTCAGTGCAGGAGACACAGGGGAGACTCAGTATCCTGCCCACAGCTGTCAACCCCTCAGGCCAGGAGACATTAAGTGACTTGCCCATGGCCATGAAAGAAAGTTGCTGCTGGACAGGGAACAGACTGTGGCCACAATGGCACCAGTGCAACCTCCTCTCTTACTTCTTGACCTAGCCACTAGGGGAGAAGGAGTGACGTAGCCCATTTGAAGTACCACAGCAATTAAGGCACACTGTCCCAGGAAGAACCCTGGAGTCTTGGCTACAACTTAACTATTAGCCCACATGGGAATGCACTGGTGAAAGACCCTGGGCAAAGTGTGGGGGATGGCTCTTCCCTGCATCCCCTGCATACTGGCAGGGCCCAACCCAGACTTGTGACCTGAATCACCTTTCCCTTCAGTGTCTGCAGGGCATCCAGGTAGGCGGCCAACATGGGCAGACTGAGGGTCTCCACTAGCGTGGTGTGAAGCCACTGGATCAGCTTGGTGTCCCAGCTCACACTGGCCAGGGCTTGGCGCACACGCCGAGCACACTTGTCCACTGCAATCCTCCTCAGCACCGGCTCGCTGCATGCCTAGACATGGGGAAGGGGGGAGATGGCGGGAGGAGACATGGGACAGGATGGGACAAGGATAAGCAGGCATGAGGAACTGGGTAGTGCCAGGGCCCTCCTGAATCCAAAGGAGCTGAAGATGACTCCTATGGCCAAGAGCCCTACAGGCAACAGAACTGCTGACACATGAGGGGACAGAAAGCGAAAAGGTCTTACCCCTTCACTGGCCAAGCGGGCCAGCCGGTCGGACTGCAGGGCTTTGTGGATCTTATTGAAGAGCTTGTTCTGTCCTATTGTCCAGCCTGACCTGTGAAGGGAAACCCAGAAGAAGCTCAGAACGAGAAGAAGGAGGTGACAGTATCAGCTTGATACTGTGTTGGCTTTGCCTGGCCTGCTCTCAGAAGCAATGCAACAGGTATAGGACGTGGCAGGTAAGAGGGGACAGTCCGCTAGCCTCTGGCTGTTAGCACCTCATCCTGGGCTCAGCGCCCCACCTCGTTATCAGGCCCTGTATACAGCTTCAGTGGTACAAGCTGGGCACCCTGAGACCACACCAGCCAGCTCCCACCAACAAGCTACATCACAGGGGGCCCTGAAGGCCCAGATACATGTGCTACTAACTGGAGAACTGGATGAAGTCACTGCTCTGAGTGCTGACGCCAAGTCCGAGTCCGTGCCCCCCGAGGTGCGTACACATATTGCCCTTCCAATAGGGGTTTATCTGGCAGCTGAATGCGCTGCTGCTTTCTGATCCAATGATGCAATCCTGGGATCAATGTTCAGATGTACTGTGCAATGTCCCTGGATAAACCATTAGCACTTCTTATGCCACAAAACTTTTTCAAGAGTTATCTTGGGACAACAGACATGGATGCCTGAGCTACTGTACCATGTTCCAGGATACAGTGATAAAGGGAACCCACTTTGTAGAGAACCACACCTGAGCAGTGGGACAAGGTTCTCCTGTTCTATCTGGGATCTTTCCAACCAGCCAGCTGCAAAGCTGGGGTGGAATAACTGGTTCTATTTTGGTCTTAATCGGTTGGGAACATCAGGACCCTGACACTATCATAAGGCAGATACGGGAAACAGGAAAGTCAGGCTGGAAGGGACCCGAGGAGGAGGAGGTCCTATCTAGCCCATCCCCCTGCTCACAGCAGAGTCAGCCTTGACTAAACCAGTTCAGCCAAGGGGCTGTTTGACCTGCTCTTGGGCTTTTCCAGGGATGGAGATTCCCCCACCTCTGAGCAGCCCCTTCCAATACCAGGCCACCCTCAAGAGTCAGGAAGTTCTTTCTCATCTCCAACCTCAACTTCTAATGGTACAACTTGAGGCCACTGCTCCAAGTCATGTCCCCTACAGCCACAGAGAAAAAGCCCATCTCCATCCTCTATGTCATCACTCTGATATTAAAGACAGATGACACACTAAAAACTACACTTGGCTTACCGAAAGATGCTGCAGATCTCACTGAGGATGTTAAGTGGTAAAGTACCACTAAAAACTCCTTTCACTGTCAAAGCATAAAGTCACATCCACCAATTCCTTTCACCAGTGATCGAAATGTGGCATTACAGATACCGCATCCCAATTGAAGCAGATGCTACTTAATAAAAAGGATGCTCTATTTCTATCCCCAACACAGCTGTTCTTACCAACTCCAGACCCATGCATGCTGAATTTCAATGACATTGGATACCGTCCCCACTCCCCAAAGGGACATTCTCCTGCCTGAAGCCACCGTGGCATTACCTGTTCATATGATCCTCCCAGTCCTCGGGCGGCGGGGGTGCGTCAGCATCCGTGCGGGCAAAGATGACGTGGCGCTCGCACTCGTTCATCACGCTGCGGGCCTTCTGGTTGTCGTACAGTGGGACAGGCATGGGCATGACTGTCTCCACATCGATAGGGATGTCCACCTCGCTGGACAAATACAGAATGTCACACAACTGGTCAGGCCCTACAGCAGGGGCCTCCCCAGACAACCTGGGCACTGGCTGACTAGGGCCACTCGAGGCAAAGACCTATACCCACCCACCTCCTAAGTGCAGGGGTCCATGCTCCTCATCCACTGAAGGACTGAGGCCTTCAACACTCTACAGTCAGCATGTTTAGGATGGAGTTCAGTTAGCAACTGAGACTATTATGGTATGTGGCTAAAGGGACAGGAAACCCGTCCATCTGGGGGTGGCTGTGCATGCCTGTCTCATCATTCACAGCAGAGGTGATTATGTGCGTGCACAACTCCCAGTGCAACAGGATCCCAATTCTTCAGGGTTCCCCAAGCATGACATGAGTACAAATAACCAAGGCCAAGGCTGCAGGGCTGGAAGGTGTTAACTGCCAATTGTGCCTACAAACTGCTGAAGTCTCCCAACCCAACTGCCTGCATTACAACTTTCTGGCTCAGGTTGCAAGAGGCTGTGGGAGTGACTGCACTGTGGCCTAGTTAAGCAGAAAAGGAGGAAACATCTGGCCAGCTGCCCTGGGTGCACCATATCATTTTAGGCACATTACATGTATCCAACACGTGGCCAGAGGTGGGCCGCTCCAGGGAACTGTCCCAGGGCAAGGTAGTCATACTTGTATATGGGTTCTCAACCTCTTTAGACTTCAGCCCCCTTTCAGAAGATGCCAGCTCTGAGCTCTTGCTTGTTTCCAGGCAATGGAAAAATCCTAGAGTGATTCTTCTGCTGCTGAGAATTTAGCAATCCCCCCCAACCGGGTGGAACTCTTTAGACACTCTGGAGTGGAGATGTCTGGTTTCTCTTGTGAATCCTGTGTAGGAGTTTGCACCCCTAACACTGCTAATATTGTACTTTGCCCTTAAAAGGATCTTGTGTCACCAGGTTGAGAATCACCACTCCCTGGATAATACTGGCCATAGAACGATCCCCAGCCCCACCTGCCTGATGCCTGTCAACTCCCATTGAGCTAAGAGAACTCTCCCAACAAGGCAACTGATCAGGTCTGATGACACAGAGGATCCATCATTTACTTCCCTGGGGAAGTTTGCTATAGTGCTTACTGGCCCTTGTTACCAAAAAGCTGTCCTTACTTTCTCATGTGAATTTATTTGGTGATAACTCCGGATACTAAATAGTCTTAAATATATCAAAAGTCAAAGTATTATCCTTATATTACTCCAAGTCTAGTACTGACCCCTGTAGAATCCAACTGAAACACCCTTCATTGACAAAATACTCTCTCTCAGATTTTGTTTTAATCCCCACGCACTGATCTCCCAGAGAAGTAAAGGTTAGAGAGTAACGAAGAGAACAGAAGCTAAACAATAAAGGCAAATGAGACAGGGAGAATCATAAGTCCTAGAACAGAGGGATCCACACCAAAAAGATCCCTTCCCCTGTGGGAAGCAACTGCCCAGTGCATAGGTAACCCAGGAGAAGCCAGTGACAGACACTGACTAGACAGAGGCAGTAAAATCGAACAGGTTGATTCACCTGTTCCAAGCTCAGCTAAGAGAGACGTCGTTCAAACACACGTGCCTTGAAAAACCTGGATTTGTAAAGATCTCTTTTACAATGAGATTGAAATCTACTAAGGAGGGAGGCTTGGCTCTTACACACATTCCAGTGCTTCTCAACTGGAGGACTGTGCTTTCCTTTTAAGGGTGCAGGGCACTATTAGCATGGTCAGGTGAGCAAACACCTCCATGTGACCAAGAGAAACCCAAAGACTTCCAGTAGGAATCCAGAGTGTTCAAACCTGCCTATTATGCTGTGGCTATTCTAAGTTCTCTGCAATGGAAGAATTTCTCTAGTATTTTTCTGAAGTTGAGAAGCAAGTGAAAGATGATCCAAAGGGAACGTGGAGTCCAACACTGTTGAGAGCCACTGCACTCTATACTGATTCTTAGGTTTTTGCTCTCAAATTTTTATTTGATCTCTTAAGGGTCTTCTTTCCCAGTTACTTATCTTTAGATGTCAGGTGTAAGAGAGAGAAGGGAAAGAATTGCAGAGAGACCTGTAAATTGTCAGGTGCCTCTTTTGGGTGTTGAAGTACAAAACTGGTGCAACAAATGCCATCACCCTAAGAAATCCTTGCTTCTCACATAATTTTGGACCACAGTGGCTATATCACTCTCACTGTATCTTTAATACAAAAATTGCTTTCCTAATTTTTTGCTCTGTTCAGGCTACAGGGCAAGGCCCCCCCCCAAAGACAATGGGTCCTTTACAGCCAAGCCCTTTCACCCTTCTCCACAACATCTCATCTTCTGAATCTCCTGCTGAGAAACACCAAATGCAACAGGTTTTGGACGCACACGCGCGCGCCTGATCCACACGCCTGATCCATACTTGGGAATTCTACAGTCATTCTGTCAAGAGACAGGATCCTGAGAAGCGATCAGCATAAATTGAGATCCATGGTGTGACAGAGCTGAACATGCTGCCTGCAGCAATATGCCAGCTAACACAATTGGAAACACAGCTCAGACGGGGGAAATTCTTTATCACAGCCCAGGCTGGAAACTAAATTAGCTCATTCATAGAATCAGAGAAAACTAGGATTGGAATGGACCTCAGGAGGTCATCTAGTTCAACCCCTGCTCAAAGCAGGACCATCCCCTGCCTGGGCTTTATCTACCTGGGTATTAAAAACTTCTAAGGATGGAGATACCACGCCCTCTCTGGGTAGCCTGTTCCAGCGCTTTACTACCCTCCTCATGAGAAAGTTGTTCCTAATATCTAACCTAAATGTCCCAGGCTTTCCCCAAAGCTCTGGCCTAGACCAGACTTTAAAGGTGTGATTTCAGAGCAAGTTACATAGCTCATTTTAATTATTAGCTCCTACAACACCAGTCGAGACACAGCAATGGTACATTCGCATAGCCTAAGCTGGGATCTAGTTTTTAGCTTATCAGTTTCTTCTAAATAATGATTTAAGATGCAACAGTAGCCTGACAGTTGGGTGGGAAAGAGTCTTCTACCCCATGGAAATTAAAGATTTCAGGTCTTTTCCAAACCTGAAGTGGGACAAAAGCCAAACATTTCCACAAAGCAAAAAGAAAAATTAGAGAATCTTAGAAAATGAAGGTTGGAAGGGAGTTTGGGAGATCATCTAGTCTAACCCTCTGCTCAAAGTAGGACTAGCTCCAACTGGGAGGTACAGGCTGGACTAGATGTGACCTCTGGAGGTCCCTTCCAGTCCAACTTCTCTAGGAATCTATGACCATTCAACTCTTTTCATAGTTTCATAGTTTCTAGGGTCGGAAGGGACCTGTGCAGATCATCTAGTCCGACCCCCTGCCATGGCAGGAAGAGCACTGGGGTCAAATGACCCCAGTAAGGTGGTCATCCAACCTCCTCTTAAAAACCCCCAGGGTGGGAGCCTGCACCACCTCACTTGGAAGCTGGTTCCAGACTCTAGCCGCCCTGACCGTGAAGTAGCGCCTCCTGATGTCCAACTTAAACCTTCCCTCCGCCAGCTTGTGACC